GACTTCGATCTTCTTGGGGTCGACGTGAACTCCTTGAGCACTCACCATGTATCATAGGAATTGGACTTTCTCAAGGGCGAATTCGCTCTTGGATAATTTGACGCAGAACCGTTCTCGTCGAAGAATGTCGAAGGCGCGTCGCAGGTATTCGACGTGCTGCTTCACGTCGCGCGAGTAGATGAGGATGTCGTCCAGGTACACCACCACACATTCGTCCAAGAGTGGGCATAGAATGTGGCTCATTTCGGCTTGGAATGTTGCCGACGCGTTGGTGAGTCCGAACGGCATTACCAGATACTCGTACGACCCGAACCGAGTTCGGAAGGTAGTTTTGTGGATGGAGTTGTCCGTCATTCGTATCTGCCAGTATCCGGACCGCAAATCCAGTTAGGAAAATACCGTGGCTCTTTGAAGCTGGTCAAGCAAGTCATCGATTCATGGTATTAGGTATTTGTTCTTGATGGTCTGCTTGTTGGGAGCTCGGTAATCGATGCACATGCGCAGGCTTTCGTCTGGTTTTGGTGTGAAGAGTACTGGGGCACCGTATGGCGAAGTGGATGGTCGGATGAGCCCTTTTGCGAGGAGATACTCGATCTGTTTCTTTATGCCAGCTAGCTCCCAATATGGTGCTCAGAAGGTCGGCTTCGAACCTGGTTCTTCCATGATCTCGTGTTGGTGCGTTCGGTATGGCGGCAGCTCCTTCGGAAGGTCGTCGGGAAGAATGTCTTGGAAATCCTTGAGTAATTCCTTGATTTTTTCAGGAGGTTCCGAGGTTTTCTCCCCGTCGTTTTCCTCCTCTGTCGCTATCGCCAGGAACCCGGTGTTGGTTCACTTTACGTCCTTCTCGAATCTTGCAAGTGTCTCCATTGGGATATCTTCTGTATCGTCCCAGTTGGGTAGCTGGACTCTCCTTCCTTTGTTATAGATGCTTGCGGTACGATTTACCCATTTGATCTCGGGTTTGAATCTTTTTAGGAAGTCTCGTCCGAAGATCAAGTCAAGCCCTTTTATGTTGGTAATGGGGAGTGTAGGTTTCCAGCGCAGTGGTTCGATTTATGGGTGTAACACTGCTTCGATGTATACTGGTAACTTGTTGCCGTCCATCATCGTCGCAGATCGTAACTTGTATACTTGAGCGGAGCGGTTGCCCTGTCGCGTATTGCCGACGTGCGCCCGTCGTGTTCCAGCGTTGACCATGTCAAACCGCCTTGCTGCCGATACGACGTCACTGTAGCTCGCATAATTTGTCGTTGCTACTTGTCGTTTGACTTCGGTCGTCAGCTCGGCGAGATACGACTTTAGTTTTTCCCCTTCGGTCAGGTCGGGAATGCGGTTATATAAGGCTTCCATCTGCTGCGTGTATTTTGCTACACTCCCGAACTGTCGATGGAGGTGAAAAATTTCCCAGGCAAGGAAACCTGAATTTATCGGCTCGAAACGTTTCAGCAGGTCGGTGCGGAAGTGCTCCCACGTGGCTTCGCCGTGGATGAAACTACTGTTGCCGCCGATCCACTCGAGTGCCGGCCCTCGCATCACTGTTGCCGCGGTTCGTACGCGTTGACCGTCCCAGACTGGCGAGCTCCATCCGACGGCTGCAAAGTAGATCTCCATGACGGCGATCCATCTGCGGACGTCGGAATGTCGATCGCTCGGATCGAACGGCTCAGGTGGGTGCGGTTTCGGAGCCTCGAGAAACTGCTGTGACTGCTGCTTCGTCGCAGTTATAGTTACGTGCTGTGCGCCGGCGAGTCGAGTTACTCCCTCGAACTCGTTTCGCCAAGCTTCGCGGTCGGCTCACATCTCCTCTTGAAGAGCGGCGATGCTCGCGAAGAGCTGCTGGGTAACCTCGACGTTGTCGAAGTTCGCCATCCTGTTCAAAACACGCGCGTAGGGGTTAATTCAAAGAATGCGGAGCTGGTGCTGACCAGAATCGGTGCCGAATTAGTAGCCCCCGGCGTTTTTTCGAGGCAGGTTTTCCCACTGCTGCTACTTTGCTGATCGCGGCCGAGAGAAAAAAGCTTTGATTACCAAGTGTTACAGGATCGAATGTGTCGAGGAAAAGTTGCACTATCGATTGATACAAGGCGCTTTTATACTTCCAACGTACATTAGGTAACCAGGTTTATCCTATCCAAAGGGAATAAACCCTACTACAAATAGAATCACCCTGCGTATAGCCACATAAGGCTATTGGCTTTAAGGGATTACAGCAGGACCACGCTAGATATAGCGCGCCAGTACATCCTGAGCCTGGTCGGTTATATAATTATAATAATAGGATAACCCAAAGGATAATGAAAATGGAGGAATAAGAAACCTAATGGGATGAGATAAAGATAAAAGGAATTAGGATAAAAAGAAGAATGAGATAGAGGACAAAGATGGAAGGGAGGAAGAAGTGTAACGGGCAGAGCAATAAGACTCCCCACATGTAGCCGGTAAGACTTACTGCGTGGCAGAGCAATTTTCGCAGCGTGCCGTAACCGCCAAAGCCGAAGCCCGTTAGAAAAATCTGGTACAGGTTGGAAATATGCGTGTTGTTTAAGGACAAAGACAATCAGGGTGATTAAAAAGTTGCCTTGACAGCATCAGGGTATTGCTTTGGTTTTCCCAAAACTGTTAAAATTATATAAGTTATAATTTTATATAGGCTTGGTAGGTTGCTACTGAACCTTTCTGTAGGGGGTACAAACCCCTCCTTGTACTCCCTTCTCTTCCTAATCCATCTCTCTTTCTTCTCGACCTTCCTCCTACTCCTAGATCCGTTTTTCCTAGCGCCGTTCCATGGCGGCCTTGCTCCTATCCTAGCTAAGCTAGTGTCCTAACTTTAGGGACCTAGCATCCTAAGTTCTTAACATGGTATCAGAGCAGGAGATCCTTCCTGCTGGACTGCCTCCTCTCGCTTCCGCCATTTACTCCTCACCCTCATTCACTCCAGCGGCCATGGCGGCCGCGTTTTGCTGCAGTGGCGACGTCGCGCTGCCACTGGGCGCGTCGTGCCGCGACCGGCCCGACGCGCTGCCGCGGAGTCGGGCCGTCGTTCTGCAGTCGCAGCGTCGACGCCCCGCTGCGGCATCGACGCTGCCATGGCGGCCGCGGCGGCGTCACGCTGTGGCGTCGTCGTCTTTTCGCCGGCTGCGCCGTCCTGCCGCGGCCGTCTCGACACGCGACCGGGACGACGTCAGCGCGACGCCGCGGCTGCGCCCCTCCTGGGCCTCGTCGCGCCCTGCCTGGCCTCATCGCACCCGCTCGGCCCCGTCGCGCCCTGCCTGGCCCCGTCGCCCTCTGCCCGGCCCCGTCGCCCCCTGCCAGGACGCCGTCGTCCCGCCTGTAAGCGCCGCGCCATTTATGGCGCGACGCTGAAGACTCCGCCCCCCCCCCCCCCCCCCCCCCCCCCCATTCTCCCTTCCCCCTGCGTCTTCCCGTCCTCCTGTCGCAGCTGCTGTCTTCTGCCCGGACGTTGCCACATCGCCGAGAGCCCTCAGCCGCGGCAGTCGCCGCCTGTCGTCGGCGACCCAGCCGCCTTGAGCCAGAGCTCCGCGGCTGCTTGTCGCTGACCCGCCTAGACGCCGTCGGCTGCCTCGTGTACGGGGGTGTGTCAACGCTTTGCCTGAGGGTCAGATACCCGGCTAAGCACGAGCCTGAGGGTGTGCGGGGTTAGGGGGTGGGTTGGGTGCGGGTGTGGGGGTGTGAGTGGGCTTGACACTACCAAGCCTAGGGGGTGTGTTAAAATTATATAAGTTATAATTTTATATAGGCTTGGTAGGTTGCTACTGAACCTTTCTGTAGGGGGTACAAACCCCTCCTTGTACTCCCTTCTCTTCCTAATCCATCTCTCTTTCTTCTCGACCTTCCTCCTACTCCTAGATCCGTTTTTCCTAGCGCCGTTCCATGGCGGCCTTGCTCCTATCCTAGCTAAGCTAGTGTCCTAACTTTAGGGACCTAGCATCCTAAGTTCTTAACAAAAACGGCCTGATTCTGGCAGGGTACTTTAATTTCCACCCTACATGCCAGGCAAATTTTTTGAGGTACCCTGATTCCCAAGGGTGGCCTAAGACCAATTTATGGCCTTGCTTCCCCTACGATCTCAAGGGCAACCCCAGCGGGTCTCTCGACATTAAGCTCAGAATGCACTCCCACAGTCGACCACCACCTGATTAGATGTTGTCCGACTTTTTCGTCATGGATAGATGGATCCTCTCGACAGCGGGTATGCTAGTATACTACCGGTACTTCAAAAGTCGGGACTGATGGCCCTTGATCCGACCCAAACCGATGCTTCCACAAAACTTGTTGATGCGCATGTGCTTCCAAGGGAAAGGAAGAGCCTCATTTGCATCTTCTTAGGAATGTGCTGTGTGTGATTACAGGCTGAAACCTGGATTTTGTCGGATTTAGGGCGTATTCCTACCGTCTTGATCCAGAATCAGCATTCCTAATCTTGGTTCCTGATCCTGCCATTTTGCAACATGTAGCTCAGCAACCGAGGTGTTAGTTGCAAAGTGTTGCCACATGTGCAGAACACACGATGAAATGTGACGTGAAGTTGTTGAATCGAACTCGCAATATGCTCCTTGATTGGTTGTAAAAAAAAATCGGCTAAAGGCACGTGCCCGACTCGCAACCGGGAGTCTCGAATGGCAACTGTTTCCTGAACGTGCCCGTCGCCCGCTTTCCAGGCCGGGCTTGCTCTGGACATGCCGTTCGTTACGTTTCATTGCTTCCAACATACCGGTATGTGATTCCACGTTGCAACGACCAATCGAGATTCCTTTTATCGAGCAAGACTATAGTGATATCCAATCGGCAGACACATGCACGACATGACGTGGATACAAGCCCGAGCTGATACTGGCATTTTCGGTAGCCCACCAGGATCAGCTTCGATTTCTTAATCCTGATCCTGATCCTGGATTGTAGGAACACGCCCTTATAACAACCGTTAAGGCCCTGAGCTGAGCAGTATTAATTTAGTACACGATCATGTGAGACCATACGCACATTGATCTTGATTTTTATTCCGGATTCACGACATTTTTGTCAACTGATACATTTGTAATGTATGTTCAGTTACAGGCTAGACAGGTATGTGCTCTTAGGAAGTACAATGCACAACTCATAGAACACCCTGTATGCCCTTGCTTAGTTCACTTTGCTACTCTGAGATGGTAGGTCACGCCATGCCGGCTCCGTCCCGCCGCTTTGCCCTAGTCTTGTCGCGCCACCGTAGCCTGCCGCGACGGCCTGCGCTTGCCGTGCGGCCCTGTCTCGCAGTGATGGCCTCTGCTAGCCATGGCACAAAGCTTCCACCCTAGTCCCTAGCTCGCCCGCTGGCCCCTAGCTCGCCGCTGGCCTCTAGCTCACTGCTGGCTCCACGCGCGCCGCGCGAGCCCCTTTTCTCGCCGCGCTGCTGCTTCCTCTGGGTCTGGGAAGGGGTGCGGGAAGGAGAGGAGAGTGTAGAGGGGAGTTTTGGTGTGAAAAGGGGGATAGATACAATCAGCCATCGACGAGGGGAGAAGCGAGGGGAAAGAAGCTGGGGATGGGCACTGGGCAGGGGAAGACAAAAAGAGCTGCTAGAACAGATAACCCAACAGGGGGTGGATGAGGAGTGAAGACGACATGAGTGGTCATAACCATCGTGACATGAGCCACAGGACATGCACCACAGCACATGAGCCACAGCACATGAGCCACAGCACATGAGCCACAGCACATGCGCCACAGCACATGAGCCACAGCACATGCGCCACAGCACATGAGCCACAGCACATGAGCCACAGCAAATGAGCCCAAGGTAAAAAAAAACGGCGTTTTTTCTCAGATTTAGACCGTTTGCTACGGTACCGTATTTTTCGGTCGTTTTAAACGGTTTAAAACAGTTCTGAAAGTTAGCTTTTTTTTGGTTGAAAAAAACGGTCGTTTTATGCGGTCGAATTTTTAAAACCGTGGGTGTACAGCAGCAATTCGAATTTGATACCGAATTCGGACGGTTGGGTGTACACCCAACCATCCGCGATTGTTCGGCAGGGGTTGGGGGGGGGGTCGGCGGAGGAGGAGGAGGACGACGACGAGGACGACGAGGAGGAAGAGGAGGAGGAGGCCGAGGAGGAGGAAAAGGAGGATTCGGGGGGGGGAGGGAGGAGGAGGAGGAGGAGGAGGAGGAGGAGGAGGAGGAGGAGGAGGAGGAGGAGGAGGAGGAGGAGGAGGAGGAAGAGGAGGAGGACGATGAGTAGTGGGAGGAGGAGGGGTAGGAGGAGGGGTAGGTGGATGAGGAGGAAGATGGGTAGGAGGTAGTGTAGGGGGGCAATAAGTAGTAGGAGGAATATGCGGCAGATTCGAGCTTTGGCGGGCCTATTTAGTTCAGTTAGGACCCCTACTATGCATGCCATAGCCACCAATAGTCGTCTATTTTGTCCCCTTCTGTCCCTGTTTTTTTTTGTTGGAATTTTGGGTTAAAAAAAAAAAAAAAACTATTAAAAAAACGGCGTTTTTTTTAATGAAAAAACCATTTTAAACGACCGAAAAAAACGGCCTGCCGTTTTTTTCAACCTTGCATGAGCCACAGCACATGAGCCACAGCACATGAGCCACAGCACATGAGCCACAGCACATGAGCCACAGCACATGAGCCACAGCACATGAGCCACAGCACATGAGCCACAGCACATGCGCGACAGCATATGTGCGGTACCTGCCAGGTCGTTGTTTCCTTGGCGTGTGGCTCACGTGGCAAGGAGCAGATAGCAGAGCAGCGCAGCAACCATGGCAGCCGTACCTGACAGGGCCTTCGTATTGTCCTCCCTGTGGTCCTTTCAGTGCCGGGCAACGAGCAGGTAGTAGAGCAGCGCTGCAGCCAGGGCTACTCCCGCCACGCACCCGATCACAATCCCTGCGATGGCTCCTGCTGAGAGAGACGTCGACGGAGCTGCGAGCATGGGGGGGATCATTGAGAGGAAGGAGGGGAGGGGGGTGGGGGGTGGGGGACGGGAGAGAGGACCAACCATGGCTCCCGCCGAACGAGAGCTGCAATGGCCAGGGGGATCATTGGGAGGGGGGGGTGAGGGACGGGAGAAGGGAGGGGGGAAGGGGAGGGGAAGGGGGGAGGGGGGAGGGGAAAGGGTGGGGAAGGGGGGGGGGGGGGAGGAGGGTGGCTGTTAGAGGTCGGTGGGAATGTGGGCACGGCTGTGCTGTCGTCGCTGTGTCTCCACCACACCGTCAAGCTGACTGCCTGCACCTTCAACACGCCTTCCTCGCATGCTTCTCACTGCACCCTCCACCTCTGCCCTCCTCTTTTCACACGCTGCAGGCTGCCTTCTGCAGCACCTCCCTTCATGCAGGAGATGCTGCCCTGGCTGCTGACATGCCTTCCTTGCAGCTACCACAAGTCCACTTAAACCCAAAACAAAAATGGCATTAACCCCATGGCCTAACTACAAGTTATCACCACGCGTGGTGGCGGTGCGGCTGACGGCACACGGGAGCGGATGGCGCAGGAGCGGGGGCATAGAGGTAGAACGCGTCGAAGTATTGGAGCGCCTTAAAGCTACCTACAAGATATCACCATCGTACGTGGCAGTGCCAACGGCATGGACGGTGCGGGAGCCGGGGCGTAGAGGTAGAACACGTCATACGCTTGGAGCGCCTCCCGCCGCCACACGTCCTCCTCATAGTCCTCCTCGTACTCCTCGTTGTCGTCAACTCCGCCACTCGCTCCGCTACCCCCTCCTTCCCCCGACCCCTCCCCTTGCACCGCCACTGGCGGAACCTCCGCCAGCTGAGGCGCTCCCCCCGTCGCGCCCCCCGCGCCAGTGAGCCGCGCACGGAGGCTGGGGGGAAAGAGGAGCCCGTCCGTTGTGTGCAACACGAAGCGCGCCGTATATGCAGCGGCGTACTTCGATATAGGCATATCCGATACAGTGAAGTTCGCCCCATCCGCGTGCAGCACGACGTCCTCGCCTTGCACGCTCCGCCACGGCCCCTCCCACGCGAAACGGGAGATCTTTTCGCGAACGAAATGGTACGTCAAGACTTGACGGAGAGTCGCAACGTTGGACGGATTCTGTAAGCTGGCGAGAAGCGCGGGCGGTAGCCAGATCAGAGATTTGTCCGAGGGGGCGAAAACCGAGAATGGCGCGCCGTCAAGCGCGCCGCCAATGGCGCTTAGAGACCCTGATTTTTCTAGGAGCGCCTTAAAGCCGGAGTGCCCCGAGGCATCGAGGGCATCGAGCAAAAGCTTCCGCGTCGGGCCGAACACATCGCGCCGCGACGCTATTGCGCCGCGTGGTGTCCGCGGGGACGTGCTGAGCTGGCAGTCCACGCTGGCGGGCACGTGGCACGCAATGATCAGAACCACTAATGCGATGCCACGGGCGAGTATCGCTCGCCGGCGGTGAGGCCGCGACACGATCATGATGTCTTGGGGCGGAACTTCGTAGCGCGGCCGCGTGTAACCCTAATCCACGATGGTGCGCCAGCGGCGGAAGTTAGTTATCGCGGCGGCCCGCGGTGAAGAAGGTGCGGCGATAGGCCAGGCAAGGTGGAGGGTGAGCTTGGGTGCCGTGCTAGCTGCCGCCAGGGAAGAACAGGAGAGATGGCGAATGGCGACATTTAAAGAGAAAGGGTAACTATGACAATACCCGTGTATATCTGTTACTTTATAAGAAACCTTTATACAAAGCGGAGCGCGGGTAATCGGAGATCGGATTCCGACGTGCGGGGCGCGATGCGCCGTTGAATTCAACCCGTGCGATTTTATTCCAAGTTTCGGCGCGGGCCGGGATTCGCGAGATTCTCTCGGAATTGAGAGAATTATGAGGGCGCGATCTGAATTTTGGCCGAACTTTGAAGTTTTGCCAACCGACTCGCCACGTCGGCATTGCACATTGCAATGTTTGGCCATGCGCTTTGAACTTTGGCCAACCAGGCCCTACCGGCCAGAATCCGTGCGACGAAACCCGATCAACGGCGGCGACCGTGCACGACAAGTGGTTCTTGCAGTGTTTGCCGAACATGCTCTTCAATCGTGACGACAATCAACCCATGGAAACGTTTGTCACCTGCCCAGCACACAGGAGACCCGCAACGTGAACATGCATCGCGCTTCCCAACCCAAACCCATGATGAACAACCCAACCAAGCAGTCCGCTCTCCGGAAAATACACACTGTATTCCGCCGCTATCAAGACGCATTAGGATCTTCCCTTTATCACGACAGCAACCATGGCTAGGACACGTGAAACTGCTGTGGCCGCCGTAGCCGGCTTCCTCCAATGATGACGACACCACAGACACAATTCTCGTGCAGTTAGCGGTCGAGGCTCTGGACGCCATCGCCGCGGAGTCCGCGTTGCGTCGTGCGGAGAGCCGCCGCAATGTTAACAGACGCAACAAGCTCGCACGAGCCGCCAGGGTAGCATGGTGGGTCGATCACATAGACACCATGGATGACACTGAATTCGTCGAGCTCTTTCGAATCGACAAAGCCATACTCGCCCACTTGGAGGAGGGGTTAGCCTCGGACTTCGAGAGACTTGTGCTAATGCACGGCGTACCACTTAGCTTGTGCGTGCTCATCCCCATTAAATACCTCGCCACAGGAATGACATACTTGGATATGAGCACATACTTTGGTGTACCGAAATCGGTCTGCCATGCGATCGTGGACCGCTTCCTCCTCTCCTTCCCAAAACGCTACAAGGAGACATGGGTGCGTTTCCCCACACCTAAGGACATGGCCGAGATGGCCAGCAAGTTCCGCAAGGCGCGCAGTCTCCCGAACGTCATTGGTGCGGTCGACAGGACCCACCTGCAGGTGAGAGGCATTGACGATTACCGTTCCGAGTATTGCTGTCGGAAACAAATGTACTCGGTGCAGTTGCAATTAACTGTTGATGCGCGCTGTAGAATCTGGGATTACGTTGTGGGGTGGCCGACCTCGGCTCATGACGCCCGAGTGTTTTCGAAGAGTGCTTTATTCAACCGGATGGAGAGGGGAGACATTGCACCATACCACGTCCTAGGAGATGCTGCCTACCCTTTAAAAGATTTCTGCCTTGTACCCGTCCATGCAAGCAAAGAACGGCTCCTAAGCGGATGGGAACAGAGTTACAACTACGTGCACTCTGCCACACGCATGGCCGTCGAGAGAGCCATGGGCTTGTTCAAAGGAAGATGGCGAATTTTCGGGTCCTGCCATGGGGCCCGACTGTGGAGGGTGTGTGCTGGGGCGGGATGCGCAGTGGTGCTCCATAACATGATAGAGGGTCAGGCGGCTTGCCGAAAGCGGTCGAGAGGGTGGTGACGAGACAGGACGACGCGAAACTTGAATAGGTGGTGGGAACTGCCGGAGATGCAGTCGTACGTCTGGCCTCCCGCGGCAGACACCACGCGGGAAGCGTTTGTTGCACGGCGTCGTGACTTCGTCACAAAAATCGCAAATGCCCCCTTCACATATCGGCCAAGATTCTCGGGAAACAGTACCGAGCCACAAAGTGGTTTGGGACTGGCCACACTGTAGGTACTCCATCCGCTAGCCGAGGGTGTACCTACAGCGCACGCGGGGGTGGAGTAGGGCGAGCGTATATACCTAGACCACGCTAACAACCTATCGGCAGCCTCGGGAAAGCCTCGCCATCCTGTGGAATCGCGGTGGAGTCAAATGCAGAAGAGACGTAGCGCCTACAATGTAAACAAAGCCGAAGAACAATGCGCAAGCGACAAAACAACCATTCAGCTCCGACACACACGGACAAAACAGGCAGCGGAAAATTGGCGCCATATGACAAACGCAGACAACGAACCCCACCCCAAGTGATGATGACAAAATAGTGGCAAAACCGGCGAATAGCGAGCAAGACAAAACACGCGAAAGTTGATGGTCGCAAAGAGTAACCAGGTTACATGATGACTATTTATGAGATGCTACTACTGAGGGCGCGTTCTAATTCGTGCAAGGGTGCATGTCGGGAAACGTCGAGCTTCTGAGACAGCAATCGCCGAGCCTGCCTCTCAATTTCACCAAGGGTCAAAATCTGACTCCCAGATGGAAATCGACTTCGATCGCTCCCTAAGTTGGCGCCGACAGATATTTTGCAAATTAGTGTACATTCTAGGCGTAGACATCGAATAGTCGACCTTTCTGGTACCGAAGTTGGCGTACGCAACTGAGCTAGGCTCGACATGTCAATTTTCCCACATTGTTTTAAAGGATCAATGGTTTTTACTCCACACAAGTTTCCACTGTCGGCTTTTTCATCAGGGTTTCAAGAATTGGTTTCTGTTCCTACTTCTTACTTCCCGCCTCATTTCTTGGTCCCTAGCTCGGCTCCTTAACTTGTTTACCTCTAGCTGAATCTTTCATAGAACCTGTTGTTTCATTCTTCTCTTCCTTAATTGCTCCTTTCCTTCCTAAATGTTCCATCGCTAACGTCCCTTGTGTTGCGTTATTCTCCCTTTCAGCTATTCATTCTCCGTTTTATTCTTTCATCTTCCGCGTGATGCTTGCGTTTGGGCAGGATGGCGCAGGTGTTGGGGTTGATTCGACCGTCGCAGTCACAACTCTCTGCACCTGTCAGGTTTCGTATGTTTCTGTTTTCTGTATTCTCGTCAGACCTGTTGGCATCCTTACTGCTTTAGCTTATTCATCTGATTTCTCACTTCCCCTTAACCATTCCGCCTCGTCGTCGCAATTGCCTTTCATTTTGTCTACGTTTCCGCCATTGAAATTTCCTTCGATTTCCCAGACTGTTGCCCGTTCCCTAATCGCCTCCGATTTCGCCTTCGTTTTTGCCTCCAGTTTCGCCTATGGTATCGCCTTTGCCTTGCGTGCAGACAAGGAACACCCGTTCGTCCTCTGCGACCTCCGTGTTCCCGGAGAATTCAACGTTTGGGTTCAATTTCCAGGAGTCCAAGGCCGCGCAGTATATCACATGCGAATGCCCTGAGGAATGGTATGCGCCCTGCTCATGGCCACCTCCCCTTTCCTCCATGTTTTTTGTTGTCTGTGGGGAACTCCCTCGCATATCATCCCAATTTTCTTGTTGGGGTACGCTGTTTTTTGCTTTCCATGTTCATTCTCTTCTGTACGTTTGCTTGTCATCCCTGTTTTTTTGTTTTTTTGTGTTTTTTTTTTACCTTTTTTTTGTATGTTTTTTTTTTCCTCAGAATAGCGCTGACCAGGGATTTTCAAATTGACACCCCTCTGTTGCTTGCAATGCTCACCCGGGGCAGCATGACTGACGGTTCGGGGCAGCAACGATTGTTTATTCGTACTGGGACCGATTTTGTCTTTGTTATGGTGTTGGTGTTTTCTGCTTACGATGCTTGACGGATGCACGGCACTTTTTGCACTGTTAATTTTCAAATGTAATTGTAATTGTTTTCATCGTGTCCGCGACTAGGACGTGTCCAGAATGGGAGGGTGATTCGACGCCCTTTCTCTTTGCAGGAATGTGGGCGGGCGAACCGTCCGTGGCTGGGGGGGTGGGGGGGGGAGGGAGACGGGATCATGTTTGATAGGCACAGGCTGTACTCAGTTGTCGCTTGTGTTGTGGCACATTTGCGGTTGAAATGATGTTTAGTAATTGACACAGTAGCTCTCTCTACTCACCCCCCTCGGTTGGCACCTGTGAGGCTGTCCGGTATGTCATCGCCTCCTGTGCGGCGCGTGGTGCACGTGAGTTTGTTGGTCCCACATTCTCCGTCCTTGCCCCACCCTCGTCGACGACGTGTGGGTCGGGCGCGCGATTCGACCGCCAATATTTCCACACATGAGGATACCACTCGGGCTTAGGCATGGGTTTGTTGACGGATTTCTCGTCGGCTACCTCGATATCCTTCATCCTCTTTGAAAGATACTTCCATTTTTTTTGCATCGCGACAATTGGGCGATTCCATTCCGGGTTAGCGTGCTTGATGACTAGATGCAGTTTCTCCCATGGCTGTCCTCCTTGCTTCCCTTTCAGCTTGACAAAATCCTCTTTCGCGGCCCACATTGCCGCAGCGAGCTAAGTAAGCTCATCTTCGCGCCAGTATTTGTTTGTCGGGTCCGCTCCCACGGCGGTGCTCTTGCCTTTCAGGTCCGAAGGGTCTTGGAGTTTGTCGGAGTCATCAGCACCCGCGTCATCGAAATCATCGACCGCGTTCACGGTGTCGTAGACGCCATAGCTTCCGTCATCGGTGTTGACGTTGTAGGCAGCGTCTGGAGCATCCAAGCTGGCGTCACAGTCCTTCTCGTCGGCTGGCTGGTCGCTGGCTGAAGAGGCAGGCCCGTTGGCGGATGACGTCTCCTTCCGCACTGGAGATTCCGTCAAGCCGATGAGCCGAATGCGACTGATGCCACGCTTCTCCAAGTCTTCGAGGTAACGAATCAACGGGGGCAGCCGACGGGGCACGTCGACATGTACCTCCTTGGACTTGCGCTTACTAGTGTTATGCATATGCTTGGGAGCCATGCCTCGTTACGACGGCGGACGCCCTTGTTTTGTGGGTGTGTAGCATAGTGGTTTTAAAGAGACTGGGATCACGTATTTGTATCCGCAAGGCACACGCTGCTCTGTGCTTGTGTAGCTGTTGGTCCACCATGTCGTGGTGCCTTTTGTTGCTGTGCGCTTCGATGCAGTCATTCAATGTCAAATTTTGGATGGCAACGGAACTTTGGCACAAACAAGCGGGCCGTCTGTTGTCGCAGTCATGTGCGACCAAAACTATGCTCTCTCGCATTTCATTATGCGCCTCGCCAGACGATTTGATTTGGCGCGATTGGGTTCCGTTTGCAAATTGTCGCGGTCTGGTCGCCTAGTTTTTTGCATAAAGGTTGGCCAAAGTTCACCTACCACAACTTTTGCCAACCAAAACCTCAAACTTTGGCCAAACTTTCGCTGACGTGGCGAGTCGGTCGGCCAAACTTCAGACCGCGCTCTGACACGCACTCACAACCAGGCCTCCCGATGTCCCCGAAGGACCCCCCTGCAGAATACGAGTTAGGGCTATTTCTAGTAGGTGTCATCCCGAAAAAAGTGTCATCCGAGAATGTTGGAAACCCATCGCAACCGTTATTTCGAAACTTCAACGGTTGCGATGGGTTTTCAACATTCTTGGATGCCACTTTTTCGGGATGACACCTACTAACAACACGCCCTTAGTCGCGCAACCAACTCGTCCAAGCTGGGTAACCCCGAAAATGTTGACTGTTTTTGCAGGGCAGTTTTGAGGGTTTCTCGGCATGTGCAGGGTTTCAGGGTCGCGTTCACTTCGTCGAAGTGCACTGAACTTTTCCTTTCACCAATTTTCATCTACAAGTGCTTCGATGTTATTATAAGCCGCATTGTGCTAAAAAAGAAAACCCAAACGATTGACTACAACTGCAACCAACACTTCACCAATTTATTACCAACTACAAAAAATGCGCCCTACCCACTGGTACCAAATGTCCCACCTATATGAACCACTACAATATTTTATTGGTTGTTTCATCTACCAAATACTACACCTACTTTAAATAACCACTCTTTAATAATGCCTTAATTCTCCACACTAACTGCACTAGCCATTCAAACATCCTTAAACTAACTCATCATATTCTGCAGCCTCGGCAGCCACGGGGCGCTTGGAGGGGCCTGCTTCAACCTCCCTAGAAGGCCTCCTCTTCTTCTCCATCATGAACACCTCAACAACCTGCATGTACTCAATCGGGTACTCCAGCAGCGAAACAACCATCAGGTCCGTTAGACGGCCGTCACTGAGGTTCACGCAAGTCAAGGTCTTGATCAGATTCTGTTTTGAGAATCCGCGTTCGCACTCCACATTGCTCAGCGGGAGCACCGCAAGTGCCTGCCAGAGTCGAATGAGGTTAGGGTAATGGGTCTGCCACTCCTCATTCTGCATCAAATTGGACAGGAACTGGTGGAAAGACTGGCCAGCATAGCAGCTCTCAAGGACTGCAGTGAACAAGCGCAGCTAACGCTTGCACTTCTCAAAATCCACACCTGTCAGGTTGGGTCATTAGGAATATTGTGCAAGGTGTAAGCGGAGTCAAGGCAATGCATTGCATAACACAACAAAGGTTGCATGGATTGAAGCATGTAACTGATAGGCAAATTCAGAACATGCCTTTCGCAGGCCAAAGCATGGCCAAACGTTGAGAATCTAGAGCAGGCCAAGGCAAGCTGCAAATGGCAGCAAACAAGTTGGAACAAAGATTTTAAGGGTCTCACCAGGGATGGAGTTGTGAAACATGTCTTCAAGTTGCTGCAGCTGAGATTTGAACTTTGCCTCGCGCTCGGCAGCACGATGCAGGTACGACTCTGGCTTGTAGAGCTGCGCACCCTCCAGAGACGCCGCAGGTTCTCCAGCCTTTCCCTGAGCCCTTGCACGAAAGTCTTCACAACTTGAACGCCAACCTCTACGCAGCTCTCAAGGTCGCTCCCAGTCGTGTGACCTTTAAGCTGGCGCTCATGGAGCTCGACGGCGAAGGAAGTGGCATTCCCCTCCACATCCACCCCCTCGTACACTACCTTCCTAGCATGCAGATTGCTATGCTTCTAAAGAAAGAGTGTGAGGTGGGGGCTGTAGTTGTTGCCGAAAACAAGGGTGTCCTCAAGGTAGCAAGAAGAGAGGATGATGTAGACATGCTCCACCTGCTGGGAGATCATGGTGATGTCAACCTAGGGAACAAGCAAGGCAAGGCAAGCTGAAATTGCATCAAGGCATGTTGAAACCACATCAAGGCATTACAAGTCTCGTAACACCAGAGGCAATGCAGAGATGAGAGGCATAGAATGACTTGGTCTGCAAATCAAACTGGAAAAAGACACAGCAACACATGCTGAAAACTGTTAGGATTAAGGACGGAGTCTAGGTGAACTTAGGAGCTAGAATTACTCAAAATATAAATCCGAAATTCTGGACAGAAAAGTCGTCTCCACAAGAAACGTTTTCGACAAAAACCTAGCCGTTGGAATCTCGCGAAACTCAGATATGTTGTAGCTCTTGATCTCAGCTACCGTTTCCAAATTGAATCACGTTGATTGATGAAGTATTTGCGACGCTATGGTTTTCGACGCATTGGGGGGTATGCTGTAGGAGAAGAACTTAACTCATTCTCAAACTTCAATTAAGGTTCAAGAATCTCACATGGAATTAGAGGAGCAAGAGAAAGGTTGGGATAGGAAGAGAGGGATGAGAGGGAAGGTCCCAAGAGAGTCCCCAACCAAGGAAACCCCATAAGCACAAAGGTCCCTCCCTATAGGAACCTCAACTTTGACCTTTGTCCCTTCCAACCAATCCATCCAAGTTGGCCACCCTTGCCAACCTAGCTTGGTTGTTCCCAACCAATTTGCAGCTGCTACAGTATAGTGACGAATTTTCCCAACCCCAAAGGTCCCAAATCCATATTGAGTCACCCCACAACTTCACTTTGTAACCGCCGCAATTGTAACGCAAGCTCATGAACTTTGAATCTTCATAGCTTTCGCGTTCTTGCTCCGATTGAAGGGATTATCGTTGCGTCGGAAAGATCTTCTCAAGATCTATCATCACAAAATACCTGCTCAAACAAAATAACACAAAACACATTCCCAAACTCCATAACACACCACACACAAATTCTTGCACACGTTCAAACCACACATGCAAGTTGAAAACATGGGATGGGAGGCAGACAGAATGTGATAGCATATATGATGACATTACACAAAAAAAACAGCAGCAAGGCTAGGCAATCAGAAATGTGAGGTAAAAAGTGGTGGAAATTTGAGGGCTAAGCTAGGCAAAGTGATATCATTACGGTACCTATCGCATTTGAAACTTCAGGTTCAAAGCGTTGAGAAGCTCGTGCACATCCGCGAGGAGGAAGAGGAGAAACTGGAACTTGAATAAGGTGACCACCTCGAACATGGGGTGCTTGTGCTCCTTCAATAACACAATCACTGCAGGAAGAACCTCAACAAAGCAAAAGATGGCATTCCCTCGTGCCAACCAACGAATGGCATAGATGCCCTGTAGTTCGAGGTTGGTGATGAGGAACTCTTCCTGCAAGCGCATGAAGCGCGCATACCAGACGTTGGAACGGTTCAAGATGTTGTATGTAGCCAAGATCGCCTTGTCGATCACATCCATCTCGGTGACCTTGGCGGCAGCATCCCTTGCAGCCAATGCCTCACTGCACGTAGGTCAAAGGGGAACACACTCAAGCTTGTTGAATATACTCGGGTGGAGTTCCTCATACAAGAAGAAGCTGAATGTCTGGGATTTCGCTCAACCATCACAAATGTGCAGCATATTTCATGACAACAAATCTCACCGATGGGCGATGCAGTGGGTCGCGACAAGGTGAGGTGAACGCCCGCGCATCCTGCTCACAAGCCCAGTGCGCTCTCCAATCATGACAGAAGCACCGTCCGTGCTCATACCCACAAGCTTGTCGATGTCAACGCCATAGCCGCTGAGGCGAGCCGAGAGCGCTTGGTGGAGCGACGCAGCATCCGTCTTCTCAAGTGTAAGAAGGCCCATGAACTCGTTGCACACCTTTGTTTCCTTCAGGAAGCTCACATACACAATCAAGTGCTTCCCTCGTGCACGATCAGTACTCTCATCACAAGAGATCCCAAAATAGGGGCTCTTGAGGACATGTGCCTTCTGCTTCTCAAACAAGTGATGCAACACAGCACTAGCAAACTCCTTGAAGGCATGTAGCAAAAACAAAAGGAGGGGAGAGAAAAATGTGGGAAGATGGAAATTCTGCCAGGTTGAGAGTGTCGATGCGTCCGATTCACCCTCAAAGAAACATCGCCAAAGATTAAGAGCATCATGTTATGCAGAAAATGATGCATAGAGAACGTACTCAGAGTAGTAGTTCCCATATGCCCCCGATCCATTCATGTCAGGCACACCCTGCTCTGCTTCAAAGCGGCACAACTGAGGGTACATGATTATTGGGGCGTCCTTAGTGCAACAGAACACCACAACCTGCATGCAACGCGCCACGTGACGACGGGCAAAATCAGCAGTACAGTACTCGTCAAGACACCTCTGGTTTCCCGCAGTTGCCTCAGCCACGGCCTTGTTCTCCAATGCCTGGCGATGGGCATTGGAGCTGGAGTGAATACGGATGGAGGCGACCTGAAAGTCCACAGTACTAGATCCACGGCGACCATAGCGGGTGTGGGAGTTTGCATCACCCCAGCGCATGCAATCTTTACACTTCAGAGCCAGAAAGCCGTTAGGATTCGACACAACCATCAGCCACGGAAATCGCCTAGTCCAATCATCACAAAACCCTCATGCCCGGACCCTCGCAGCAGCCTGGGTAGCTTCCGTCATGATAGGTGTCACAGGGGTTTCATCCGTCACCGGGCTGTTCTGGGCCTTGGGAGGAGGGGGCGCAAACGGGAGGGTGCTCTGAGTCAAACGGAAAGAAGTCCTTGGGGCGACTCCACGTGACATCGATGCTCCGGCAGAGGCTGCAAGAACTGCCCGGGAGTTGACAGGTGAATGGTCATATACCTCAGTCGTGGCAGTAGGTTCAGGTTCCTCAATAGGCCGCTTCCCACGGGCATATTCAAGCATCTCCGGGCTTGGTTCAAGGTCTTCAGCAGCCTCCACATGCTGTCCAAGGGGCTGCTCTTCCAAGCCCAAAGCAGCTAGCAGCGGAGAAATTTCAGTAGGGAACATGGTGGTAGAAGCAGCACTACGTGGTCGGATGCTAAGATGGGCTATCTATCTTGCAAGCACGGCAAAGGAACGTACTCAGACTGAGAGATAGAGGTGGTTTTTATACTTCCTTGAAGAGAAGAAAAATGTGCAGTCCCCATTGGATTGCTGGAGACACGCTCCTCCTCACATGGACGAGGCAAACAGTGATGGCGCGTCTGTGCAACCGCGCCGGCACGTCCATGCTACCGCGATGCCGCGTCATTCAACGTTGATAATGGAACTACCTAGGGGGAAATTTGAGGCACGAGTGAAGGGAGAGACAGCAAGCAATATGGAAGTTTGATTACTGAGGGGAAACGTGGCACACGATTGCCCTAACAACACGCCTTATAGCGAGGGAGCTTGGATCGGAATATCAAATGAATCTACCTCTGAAGCGCTGGTTGAACACGTAGCTGTTGGCCAAGGACCACGAGAAGGGAGGGAGAACACAATGCTAGCTACGTGGTTTTGCTCTATGGACTTGAGTGAAGTGATGGGAGAACTATGATGTGTGGGCAGATCCGAGTCCCACTTCTCTCATCTCATCCCCCCCAGACTGTTAGAATATACCATGCTATGCTATTTGTGTATATTGTGTTTACATCCCTAGTTGGGTGTACACCAATGTTGGGGTGTCAATCCAACCCAATTGTGGTTGGAGCCCCCAAACACAAGGACCACAATTGTGGGGGCACCACAAGTGGGTTGCTCAAGCCACTTGTGGTCCACCACACTTGGACCACCTCCCACTTGTGGTCAACCACACTTGGAAGGATCCTCCCTCCGTTGTGATTAGTCCTAACCCCCCCTTTCCCTTCCAACCTTCCCTTCCTAGCTCATCTCTCTTCCTATGTAATGCCTTTGCTTCATCAATAAACTGAACCTTTCTTTTTCTAACATGGTATAGAGCAATAATGGCTCATGCCAACTTTTAATTCCGATCCTTCCCCACGCTTCCGCTCCATCCCCTTCCGATGTGCACCTCATTGCCGTCCCCTCCATCGCCGCTGCTAGACTCCTAGCCGCCGCCTCTCTTTCCCTTCACAAGTAGTTTTCTGTTGGGTGGATTTTCAAACATCCCCAGTGCGCCAAACGCCATAGCTCGCTTGCTAATTGACAGAATTGAGTGATTCGATTTGCAAAAGAAATCTTTTGATGTCAGCTACAATGTCGTAATTTTTCAGAGTGTTCCACCAATTGGATTGTTGAATATCGCTTTATGAAGTTCGCGCACTTTCCTAGATGTGATAACGAAGTGCTACTGAAATTTCTACCAAGTCCTACTTCATCAGCTAACAGCCATCTTTCCTTATCTTTTGCCTCCTCACCTGCACCTGCTCATCGCCGCCCTACCGTTGCTGCAACCGTAGAAGCAGCAGCAGCCGAAGGAGAAGCAGTAGCAGCAGCAGCAGCAGCAGACGCAGCAGCCGAAGGAGTAGCAGACGCAACAGCAGCAGCAGCCGACGAAGGAGCAGCAGCAGTAGCTACAGCCATCCCCATCCTCCCATCCTCTTTGAGTCACCGCGGGTCCACCCGCCGCCGCTCCCTCCCCGCCACTGCGGGTCCACACACCGTCGCCTTCCTCCCACTCCGCACCACCAATGGCATCCTTTCCCCCTCCCGTTGACGTCTCGACCCTCGATCATCTCGTGCGCGCTGCCGAAAACTCAGCAACCAACTGGTATTCCTTCGTCGACAGCCTCCACCGCGTCCTTGCCAGTGCATATGTCATGCCGTTCTGCCTCCTGGACATCATGCTTGGTCTCTCAGAGGGTGACCTTGGGGACCTGCCGCCTCACCCTGGCGATCCCCCTTCTCTCATTCCCCATCCCGGCGAGGAACCTCCGCCCCCCGTGGTACCCGTTGGCATGAGCACTCGCGGTGCCACCGCTGTAGCTGAGGAGCTCTTTGTTACTCAGCGTCGTGAGTTCCTCGTGCTCCATACGGATTACCTAATCGTTTTGGAGGAACATGAGCGGTCGGCCACCCTCTACACCCACCATGTCGCTACCGCCGCCGCTTATGCCGCTGACTCTACGCGGGTTGCTGAGCGTCGTCGCACTTGGCTCAAGGCGAACAGCCGTGCTACTGGTGCCCTTCTCCTTGCCATCCCATCTGTGCTCATGCGCAACTTACAGGCAT